TTTAATTAAATTTTATTTATAATAATTTATTTTTATTACTTTTTATTCTTAAATTTATTAGTAATTATTAATTTTTTTAATTACTTATTTTTTTATTTTCATAATAAAGTTAATGACTAAATTTAATATAAGTTTTTAATTTTGATTAATTATATGGTTTAGACATAAAAAACTGACAATTAAAATGTATTTTTCTTTGTAGCAATTTGGTTGGGAGTTTGAAAGATTTCCAACCAACTGGAGTTCGAATCTCATGGGATGCAGGAGCGAGGGCAGAGCGGACGGGGTTTAAGGTAGGCGGGCATTGAGGGCGAGGGCTTTGAGTAGAACGGGAAGGTGGGTGGGACTTTGAGCAGGCATACAGCATGGGTGGGGTCTTTGGGTAGGCAAGCAGCGCAGCTAGGCTTCGGTTAGCGCTCGAGTTCCTACGGGCAGCGCAGGAAGGTTGGCAGTCGAGCAGAGCAATTTTTTAATTAATTTTTTTTTATTTTAAGGGGCATAATTTTTTCACTAGCCACCATAATTATTTACTGCCTAAAAACTGCCTGTAAATTCTAAAAGCATCAAAAAATGATAATATTTTATCAAAAAAGGCCGTCGGTATTATGTGATTTTGTTGTAGTGTTTGTTTCATGGTTTGAAGGTAGAAGGCGCAGAAGGCTTGTGCATGTGGAGGGTTGGGGTTCGAACCAAGCCAAAAACATTTCATGCTGGCGGGCTCAGTTCGAGTGGCTAGGCTGGTGATCTGTATGGGCGGGGCCTATGTGGGCGCGGTTGAGATGGCGATCCGCAAGGGCAGGCCCTATGCAGACGGCTTGGCTAGGATGGAGAAAAATGTGGGAGTATTGGGCTAGCTAGGCGAGATGGTCGGGGTGAATTGATTTGGATTTATTTTTATTATTTATTATTTTTTTAACCATCTAGCACAAAAATAATACCCTTAAAAATTTTTTTTTATCAAAAAATCTGTTATAAATAAGCTGAAAATGTTTTTGGCAAATTATTTTGTGACAAAAGGCCTTTTCCGATGCATGTTATATCGTCAAAATCATTTCTGCTAGAAATTAGCTAGAAATGCTTATTTACGATGGATTTTGGCCATTTTTCTAATGTTAATGGCCACCGAAAAATGATATTTTTTGTGTAGTGGATCAAGGGATTCAATATCGGTCGTCTTTCTAAATCACTCCTTATTTACCCATGATCTTCCTCCTATTTACGAGGCATGCCATTCTAGGAAATTTATAAATAGACCACTCTTTCCTCTTGAAAAGGGACCCCTCTAAGCCTTAGGAAACAAAATAGAGATCGGAGATTGCTCTCTTGCCTCCTTGCCTCCTCGACCACCAACAGAGCTTCACTAGCCCACCAACTGATGCTTGTAGTTTTGTAGGATCACCACCTGATACCCAGAGTTTGATTGGGCCACCACCTGATGCCAAAGTTCCATCAAACCTCCACCTGATGCCCAAAGTTTTGACTGACCACCACCTGATGCCCGATGTTCTGCTAGACCACTACCTGACGCATGAATTTGCTGGACCACCACCTCACACTACGAGAAAACCCTTCATTACTGGTGGAGAATATTCGCAGCTAATACAATATTTTAGTCAAAATTATAGGTTTCCGGCGCACGTTTCGACTGAATTATCTACGCCGGTTTGGAGAACGTCGGTAAAAGTCTTCCGGCGCATACGTTTGCGCCGGAACACTTTCCGGCGCCATTTCCGTCGCATTACCGGCGCAAAAAATGATGGCAGTCGTCGACATTTCGGCTGCTGACTCCGGCAACATATGCACCGGTAATTTCCGTTGTATGATTGTGCCGGCAATTACCAGCGGATAAAACATCGTTGATACGCCGTAAATAACCCGCAGAATGTTTACGGCACAAAATATGCGCCGGGAATTGTTGGTGGATATGATGCCGGAAAGTTCGACTGTACTTTTTGGCTTACGCAAAATGCCGGTTAGATCGATACGGTTCATTGTATCGTCGTTTCCGGAGACGTACCGGCGCCAAGTCCGCCGGAAACCTGTAGCATTCACAAAAAAAAAATTGCCTTCCCAGCCAACAATCAGATTTCCACACCTGCAAACCTATACAAATATCTATCCACAACAGTTTATAACATTTCCAGAACAGTTGATAGCAATTCAAAGATGCACAAAAACATAAATACTCATTTAGCATTGTCTCTAAGAGTAAAGACACTCATTCACGTACATGAGCATCCTCATCTCTGTAATACTTTTATATCAATTGCACAATAGGCCTTAAACATTCCTCCACTATATATCACATGATAGGCCTGAAGCATTGTCTCCATTTAGCATTGTCTCTAAGAGTAAAGACACTCTGCCACTTGAGCATCCTCATCTCTACAATACTCAACTTAATTTTTTACTTCTCTTTTTATGGCCAACATTATGTGACATAAAGCATTGCAGGTCTCACCATCATTTATAGAATTTTACCTATAGGTTTAAATGGTCCTTTTCTATCACACAACAGGTTTGATGTATTCCTCTACTTTAACCAACCAACTTGAATTCTACTAATAACATGTTTTCTTATTATTGACTTGATCTCCCAAAGCACTTCTCCATAGCATATGTAAATCCTTTCTTTTCTAAAATTAACTCTCCATAGCACTTCTCTTTGAACTTTATCATATGTTTTTATCAAATTCAATAAGTATCATATGTAAATCCTTCTTATTCACTCTATATTTCACCATGGATAAAGAAAAAAAGATATGGGCTATGATCCTTGATGTAATCCAACTGAAATAGAAAATATTTGGTCAAAGCATGCACATGCATGCAATGTGTTTAAACACAACATATGTAGATCCTCCTTACTCTCTCTATAAGTGTCCATAATAGACACTTATTCTCAAAAAATGTATAGCTTCCATAATAGACACTTATTCTCAATATGATTAAGCATTCCAAAGGCTAGTACTACCTTCCCACTTCCTAAATCAACACTTGGAGATATCAAGACCATCTATCTTGGAAATGTATGGTAATAACATCCATGGCTAAAGCAAAAAAGCATACAATAAGGTACATCCTCTTGCAAATGTATGGTAAGAACATCCATGGCTAAAGCAAAAAGCATACAATAGGGTACATCCTCTTGCAAATGTATGGTTAGAACATCCATGGCTAAAACAAAAAAGAAATTCATGGCTAAAGCAAAAAAGA